GCATAGCATATATTTTTCACTCTATGACCTCAAGATTAGGTTCCCAGTCCTACCTTTAGTGTTAAATAACTACTTAGTATTGGGAAGGTCACTAAAAACTTTCTAGATATAAATTCCTTCATATATGATGTAATACAATAGATGAAATATATTTTCAATAATAAAGCCATATGATTCTACTTGGACTTAATAGTTCATGCTTAGGAAAATAATGTTATTTAAATGTTAGTAAAATTTTATGCAATATGTTAATATCAATATCATTGTAATATTATACATTGTATATTTTGAAGTATACTGTAGGGTGCAGTCACTCTACATTTTATTTAATAAATATAAGTAATTGTGCCTAGATTCTGGCAATGAGATTAAACCTAAATATATTAACTTGAGAGAGTATTAGCATGATGTTCTTTTTTCCATATTAGAATAGCATGCAGGTTTTTCTTTAAGCATTCATCTGATTGGAAAATATAACCAGAATTGCAGAAGTAGGGCAACAATGTCAGCGCTCGTTTCTCTGGGGACCGCTTCAGAATGCTAATTGGGAGCATTTTCCCTTATTAGCCTGGACTCAGCCCTGAGTATTTCTCAGTCTGGCACTGTTGACAGCTGCCAACAGTCTTCAATCACAAGTGGACTATTATTTGAAATGTTTTCTCCTCCCCTGAAATAGAAGAGTGTTTTTTTTTTCTGACCATTATAGAAAATTTAAAATGTGGAAAAGTATAAACAAAGCCACATTATTTCATCATTCAGACATTGTTATTACTATATTTCATTTCTGTATTTTTATACAGAAAAGTTCAAGTAACGGGATATGCCTATCTATTATGATCTAGGATTATAAAATTACATTTGACTTGTAATTTTAAATTTACTTGTGAAATATTTCAATCACACACATAACCTGAAAATATATAACCTATGGTAGAAAAGTCACCCAGATTTAATGAGTATCGCTGTTTGATACATATACTTCAGATTGTTTTAGAAGGAGAACAATGTGACAGATAATTCTAAACTTCAAGCTTTGAACCACTTTCTCTCCCTACTATCTTGGTCATTATCATGATACATTTTGCATGTCATTTTTCTTTACCTAGAGTTATTTTACAAAATCTATTTATGGCCATAGTCTTGGGCATCACCTTCTAATTTTTTTGAAACACTTCTATAATTAGTATTATAGAGTACCCTAATTTGAACTTTCTTTTTTTATATATGTTTTCCTAATTATTCTGATTTATATTTGCCTCCCACATGGAGAAACTTAAAAGCTTCATCATGTATAAAGGAATAAAAATAGTTAGTTTATAGATTAGTATATTTCTACTTCTGTGAGACCATCATCTCAATCAGGATGAGAAGTACAGTCATCAACCCACAAGGTTTCCTTGTGACCCCAGTCATCCTTTGTCCCTTCCTCATCTCCATTCTCTCTCGACTACCACCCTGCTTTCTGTCACTGTGATAGGTTGACATTTTCTGGGGGGACATATGAATGGAACCATATATGGACTTTTTGTCACCAGCATCATTATCTGAGATGACATTGTGTGCATCAATAGCTCATATGGATGTACATTGGTCACATGTCAGAGTCACCGAATCGCTGTTGTGTGATGCCTTTATTTTCCACATCTTGCTGTTTGTGCCATTGTCATTATAGATTTTATTCTACATATGTTACATACCTTGTCACACATTGTTATTAATGCATGAACAGTAAAATTACTTTTAAAATATTAATAAAACAAAATAACATTTACCCATATATTTTATATTTCCATCTCATTATGTTGCATTATGTAGATTCATATGCCCTTAAATCTGAACATTTTAAAAAATATTTTCAGAGATCAGTTATGCTATTATTTTTTCTACTCTGCTTTATATTGCTCTTCTTTTGAAGGTTGTTTAATTGTAGATTAAAGCATTTTCTCTCAGAACTCTATGTATATCATTCAATGAGTCCTGCATTTTTTGTGATGAACATTTATTAGATTTTATTAGTTTGTTTTTCTGGTGAGGTTTTATTATTTACTATTTATACTTTATTTTAATAATTTAAATATAGTGTGTCATTTTTTTTGCTCTTTTTCCTCTTGTTTCATGTGTTTTGAGATTTTTGGGGGTGTGGTATTGTTCTGCAAATCTGAGAAACCATTAACCAGTCTTATTATTTTATCCCAATCTCACTTTCTTCCTTTTGGGGATTCAAATTACGTGTTTGTTACACCACTTCAGATTGTTCCCAAGTTACTAAAATTTATTATGAAAGTCATTTTTGCTGTTGTACTTTGTACTTTAGTTTGAGTAATTTCTATTACACAGTCTTCATAACCAATGTGTTTTCCTCTGTAGCATTCAGGATTTTGATAAAAACACCCAGTGAATTTAGTTTTCATTTCAGATATTATATTTTCATTGTAGGGTTTCCTCTCGGTGATTTTTGAGTTTGTATTTTTCTGTTGTGTTTCACCACGTGGTCACTGAAATAGTCAGTTTAGGCCATAATCATCAATAACTGGTAAAACTTTAAAAAAAGTGTGACTATGAAACTCAATAAATATTGAACCAATATTGACCCAAATAATATTGAACCAATTCATGGTACATGAATCTACTAATGAATCTTGAAACAAGAACAGCTTCAACACTAAAAACAAAATGTAAAAAAAAAAAAATAGGTATTTATTTTATGCCTCCAGACACTGCACAATAGGTAGTACAGGGCATCAACAATGAGTATTTTTTAAATACATTCTGATTTTTTAAAAGATTTCATTTATTTATCTTTAGAGGAAAAGGGAAGGAGAGAGGGAGAGAAATATCAATGTACGGTTGCCTCTCATGCGTCCCCTGCTGGGAACTGGCCTGCAACCCAGGCATGTGCCCTGACTGGGAATCGAACTGCAATCCTTTGGTTCTCAGGCCCACGCTCAATCCACTGAGCTACACCAGCCAGGGCAAAGATGAGTATTTTTGACAATTACTTAAAATTGCATCTAATCAAGCCTCTATCTATTTATAGAAGGTAAACAAACATATTAAATCACACTACAGGACATAGCAAAATCCTTACTGTGGGAAACTGTACAGGATAAGTCACAGTTTGTCCAACTCATAAATTAAAAGAAAAATTAAATTTGAGAGTGATAAAACCTATGGACTAAATGAGACAAAAGGAATGCATCAATAAGCCACATTATGGGGACACAGTTGAATCCTGAATCAAAGATACTTAAATATTTTAATTTGTGTACTAATTGAATATTTGATTATATTAAAGACATCCTTAATTTGTAATATTCAAAATTTGCTTTTTAAATGGATAAATACACCCATATATAAAGCATTTTTACCAGAGTGCACAGGTCTCTGTGTAATGAATAGTTAATATGCTGTGATGTGTGAAATTTGTTTTAATATCAGAAAATGGATATGTGCATAGATGAAATAAGATTGTCATAACCTTGATAATTTTGAAGTTGAGTAATGGTGTCTAGGTGTTTATTATACTATTTTCTCTATTTCTAGATGTATGAAAATATCTTAATATAAAATTGACAAAAAATGTTATTTGCCCAACATTATAAGTTTACTTAATATTACCGTTAGTAATATTTCTTAAATTTATGCAACACATCTTCCAGTAAAGCAAACTACATGTTCCAAATGTTTTCATTATTCACTAGTTATTAAGTATACCTATTTAACAATTTCTAAATAACATACTTTATATGAATCTCAAATAGTCACGTAAGGGTGAGATTTATCTTCAAGTTTCGCCTCAGCTGCATTTCCTCTTGACCTTCATGAAATAAACTGATCAAAGAACACATTTGCTGTGAGTAACTCCAGGGAGACCAGAGCACCTCCGCAGCGTGTTCGTTCTTAATTAGGTACTTTTCCGCTCTTCCTAACAGGAGCCAGTGACCCAAGACATCTCTCAGGGGTTGTCCAGAAATACATGGACATCCAAGGCAGTATCAGATAGGACACTCCTAACAGAAATGGGAACACTATGGCTTTTTGTTGTCGCTATTGATTGTGACATTAAACTGCATTGTAGATGTGGCGAAATTATTCCTCTTCCTTCCCAAAATCCAAACAAACAAGTCCAGTTTGGTTGTACGGATGTGCTCTGTAGATGTAGAAAATGTGAAGCTTTTCATTTACATATAAATCATTGAGAGGGAGCTGGTATGATCAGTCCCAGGTAAACGGAGAGTTTTAAATGGAAAATTTCACAGTTTGAGTTTTTTGTTTTACTAGCATGTACTAGAAGATACTTTCATCTTCTGTCTTACATATTAAAAGTATTCAGCCATGGTTACCCAGGCACTATAATTTTGTATTTTCTGAAAATTGAGTCATTTGTTAAGATGAAAACAACTTTAATTTTCTATCTTTCATGCATAAAACTGTAACTATTATGCACTGACTTTCTATTCACAGTGTTTTATAACATCAGGATAAGTGGTTATTAAATCCCCTGGGTTTTAAGGTGAATGGTCCTTTTGTTTACTTAATACTACTACATAAATGATAGTTTGGAGAATTGTATGAAAAAACATATTTCCATTGAAATATAGGAGACAAACTATACTTCCCTCTGCTGGGCTGACTGCTGCTTTAGTGGGATAGTTTGTTTTTATTTAACTGAGATAAAATGAAAGAATTAAAAGAGGTTTTTTTTAATGTCTATCTACATGTCAGCTGTCAACCCAGGAGACTGCTCCAGCAACTTTCCAGCCTCAGGCAGATTTGACTACCTCTGAAACTGACAGTGCCTGAACAGAAATTTATAATTATTCCATTCATGTTATTGCTGAGCTACAAGATATAATTAACTAGCTTAATTGAATCGTCCATTAAATGTATACTTGTGTTCCATTTTTATGGATGCAAAAGTTGTATCCTTTCTTTAGCAATTGTGTGAGAAAAAAGCTGTTTTTAAAATGTCAAATTTTGTTTTGTTTCTTGTTCTTTAGGACATGAAAGTTACCTAAGAGTTTACAAAGATTATAAAGGATCATCACATTTTTGTTGGCAACATATTGTTTCTTCTGAGGAGTTTCGGCTGGAGCTGAAGGAACAGAATGAATTGTTGCTTTTTGCTGCCTTTTATGATGGGAATTCCTCTCCTGTGGCCATACCTTACAGCCACCGGAAACTCTAAAACTGAGGAAGTTAAGCACCCCGGGTGGTCTCATTGGAGAGTGAAGCGTGATTGGGTGTGGAACCAGTTTTTTGTACAAGAGGAAATGAATAGGACTAATCATTCCATTGGCCAGGTACTGGTTTTCTGAAAATGGTACAGGAAGTACCGTTGTGTAAACCTAAACAAATGAGTCGAGGCAGCTTTGGTGTTTGATGAATTTTAAATATTCTCAGTAGAACCAGTAGAAAACTTGGAATACCCACATAATTAATTGTTCCAGATTTGTTAGCAGCTAAAATATCCACACAGGATTGAGGGGGAAGGAAAGTGCTGGTTTTCCCATTTCACTGTAGACTCCCGTATAAAAAGTACAGCTGCCATCACCAACATCTGGAAACTTAATGATGTTATTTTTGGTAATGGAGCTAAGTAACTACACTGAGAACAATAATATTACAAATAGTATTTAGCCTGATTTTCTATTAGGCAAAGTCGGGGTTGATTTACCCCTCACTAATTTTTAATGAAGCAGATTAATGTCAAATCCTTTTACAGTTAAGTTAGCTTCAAGAGCCTATGCTATTTTTGTTTTGATGAGGGAAGTTGAAGTATAAAGAATAATTATTTTCACTTTCTTATAAGGATATATTTTAAAAGAATTTCCTTTATGAGAAAGGACATTTCCTATATATGTTTTTGGTTTTTATTATTCTTTGATTTTCTTTAAACAGAGGTAGTTCCAATATCCTGTCTTTTTCTGTAAAGCTCTTTCTCTAGATGAATGGACAGAAGTAAGTTTAACCGCTAATTAACTGGCACTAAAATTTAATTGGGCCCAAAGGGCGAAGTACTCAAAATTCATTAACTCCTTTTCCCTGACCCTTCCAGGAGAGACACAGAGTTATCCTGCTGCCCAGATAGCGCCGGGGCTCATCTATCCCATCATCCCAATGACCTTCAACCAAAGGCTTAGCTTAGGATTTTAGGCAAATGGACTGATTTCAAACTGTGTGTGCCCGCAAGCAGTCTATCTCGTCCCTTTTTATTTTCTAAGGTGACTGCAGGTAAATCACAGGCAGAGAGCCACGAATGAGGTCCTTAATGAAGTGTCTGCTATGTAACTGGGGCTCCCTAACTACATTTACAGTGAGCCCCACGGAGCTCCATAATTGCTCCGCATTTGCTGATAGTGGTGGCGGGCTGACGAACACTGGCTCAGCCGGGCAGGGCATCCGTGTCCTCGGAGCAGGGACTGCCTCCCTAGCTGACAGTCACAGGTTCTGGTTTTTGTTTTTCTGCTCCCTCCACAAATCCCACCCTTTGCTTTCCTTTCACGTGTACCAATTGAGTTTGCCTATATTTGTTCATTCTGTAAAGGTAGTTTTGAAAATAGTCAACCAGATAGGTTCCCCCTGAAAAACCTCATTAGGCTTAAAAAATACATAGATAACTATTTGAAATGAGAATAATAATGCATGGTTAGGTGCTTGTTAATTAAATAGCTGGTAAGAATAAAATTTAGCTGATGTGTCTGGCAGAACTTTCTTTTTGATCTGTTAAAAGAGATTAAGTTTGGAAAGCATAATGAAGCAAAAATTTCAAGTGATGTTGATTTGCCAAATTGATGATAACTGCTTCATTAGGAAGATATATTTTGAGTGGAAATGTAGGAATTTTATAATACTAGAAGCCATGGAATTGAAATGTGTTTAACTTACACATCTTGTGACATTAAGAGGCAGGTGTTCAAAATGCAATATTTTGCTTTTTGTTAAATTTAAATCTGTGCCTTTAAAAAGATCAAGCCCACTGATCTGTGAAAATTGCCTTCTAAATATACTCGAAATGCATGTATTTATTACCAAATTTGACTTATTTCCATTCTAATATTGAATCAAATCTTCAAACTACTTCAAAATGATATTTGAAAACCATGGGCCATGGTTTTAAATGAAAGTTCTGCTTTCATTTAATATATTTATTTAAGAGGCCATTTATTTTCCTTAATTTCTTATTAGGTCATAAGCCTTCCTTTTTGTTTTATGATAATGAAGGATTATCAAATTAAAAGAGATAGACCTTTTTATCTTTTTATTAGTAGTAACAATTTGATTCTTTCACTGCATGGCAGTGATATTCAACATGTTATTAAATTATTAAAATTAGTTGTTCAAGATATCTTCAGGTATTCTCCCAAATACATAGAAAAAAGTATTACCTAGTACAGAGTAATACACTGTACCTTGAGCTCTCAGACAAGTTAGGAATTTAGAATTGTATTTCTTGGTTAACATAAAATTTCAGAGAAGCCGTCACTTTGAAGAAGGGCATATTCATAAGTGATGAGACATGAAAGCCAGAGAATCACAATAATTAGGAGCTTATTGCAGGCTTTCCTTTCTATGTCAAAATAATTTAGATATGAAAAAAAACATATAGCCAATGGTAACATATAGCCTATGGTAACATATAGCCTATTTCATAATAACCTTTGTACATGTAAAATGAAGAATTATATTAATGCTATGAGTGGTAAACAGATTCACTTTGCTTTGAAAAAATAAAAGTAATGAGACTGAGAATAATAGGTATATTTGGGAATTGAGTATTATATGCCTGGTGGTAGAATTTAATCTTAAAATTAATATTATACCTTATTTAACATAACAGAGAAATCACACACAATTATTAACCTCAGAAATAACAGAGAGGCAAGAAAATAAAATCATTACAATAAAAGTGTCCCTTTTGGCATGTCTGGAAACTAAAGGATCTGTCTTTTTACTTGCAGTTGAAATATGGGATAGACAATGAAAACAAGGATTATCAGTACAAGCTTTTTGGTGATGGAGCTGGAAGTGCTTTTGTCATTGATGAAAAAACAGGTGTCTTATATGCGGTACAGAAGCTTGATCGAGAGGAACGAGAGCGCTACACTCTGAGAGCCCAGGTCATAGACACCATGACTGGGAGGGCGGTGGGACCCGAGTCCGAATTTTCCATCAGAGTCACGGACATCAATGACAATGAACCGACGTTCCTAGATGGACCGTACGAGGCCATCGTACCAGAGATGTCTCCAGAAGGTATTACATATTAATTTACATCAAGCACATATTAATAATGAAAACGGATTTAGAATTTTGAGTATATGCTTTGGAAGTGAGTTATTTGAAATTTCTACATTTGTAATTCCTTCTATAAGCATGTTAAGTTAAACACTTGAAAAATGACTCTACTAAAATTTTGTGAATATTGGTAACTTATTTGTCTTGTTAAAACATATTCTCAGTCTTCAAAGCAATAAGGAAAAGTTTAAACATGTTTATTTGAGAGAAAGTGTAAACATGTTCACTTACTAGTTTCTTCAAAATGAAACTTTATTTTCCAAGAGAAGTATACTTTTGTATTTTAAAGAGGAAAAGTGGTCAACCTTAAAGGTATACAGGAAAAAAAGATAGGAGTAAGTTTATAAGACAAAAATTCTCTGTGCATCAAGATCATGAAATGTGAAGACTAAACCCAAAGCAAATTGGATGAATACCTCTGCGGAGCTGCCCACACTTTCAAGTTTCTTTTTAAACCCAATGCCACTTTTATAAATATTTTAAATGTAATACATGTAGAGTACTTTTCCATGAGATATGGAATTGACAACCTCAGGAATCTGAACTGTCTTTATAACAGGAGGGAATTAGAGTGGTTGTGCAAAATTAGTCCACTCACTCACTGAGTCGGGAAATTTTGATAACACAATATGTAATAAAATTTAACTGATACAATTCACTAACATGTGATGAACTGATATGTGATCCAGTTATGGTCATTTAAAATGTTTCCATGCTCAAGAACTGTTTTAACTGAATGTGTGATTCATTAGCCAGTGAGGGCACAAACTTCCGATTATGAGATGATTCTATGCCAGGGAATGTAATACATAGTATTGGTAGTGTTAACAGGATTGTTTTATATCCTTGGAAGTTGCTAAGAGAGTGGATCCTAACTGTTGTTACTATGAAAACAAAATTATAATTATTTCAGGTGTTGGAGATGTTAACTAACCTTATTGTGGTTATCATATCCCAGGATAGGCATGTATCAGTCATCATGTATCTTAAACTTATTTAATATTACATGTCAAGTACATCTCAATAAAGCCGAAAAAAACTTCACTTTAAGATTATTTATCATCAACATGGCACAAATATGTCATAATGTAGAGCCATCATAAAAAGGAGATTAAATGAAAGGGGATTTATGAAAAATATATACAGATTTCTATTTTTTTCATGAATTGTAATAAGCATTATGTGTAGCAGAGATTTCTCAGAAATATAAAAATCTTTGTTTCTTAAAATACATCAAATATGAAAATTAGATCCTATGAAACTTATGCCTTTGGACACATAAATTGAAATTGATGGGTACTATGATCGATTGTCCTTTGTGTTCTTTATGAATATATTATTATTTATTAAATACAGACCAATTTATTTGACTTAAATTCTCTCATAATATTAAAAACAGAGATGTAAAAACTGCAACCCAAGAATAATAAGAATGACCTAATTTTCAGGTGATTGTGGACAGAAAACAAGATTACTTAAAGAATACTTTGCCCAATTGTGTTGACAAGAGGGAAATGCCATCTGTTTCTTGAGTGTCACTTGGAGGTCCTAGGTTGTAAAGTAGCTTCATCTCAGATACAAGCAGGGATGGGCCAATCAATACTTGTAAATAACTAATAACCCTTATACTAACAAAACAAGTTCTCAGTGTCCAAAAATGTGCAGATTCACGGATTAAACCATTATGCCCATCATGCATTTAATTTCTGAAAATTGCCTTTTTACCAGATCATCTAATAGCTTATATCTGCTTTTGTTACCAAGATCACAGATTCAGGCTGTAGGTCAAAAGAATATTATTTACTGTGAGTTTGAATTTGACCACTAGACAAGTCCACATCATCTCAATAAATTTGTTGGAGATTAATCAAAGTGTACTCATCATAAAACGGCGAGTAAGAATAGCTTTTCTGTTAGACAATTTGTATCTTCATCCTAAGAAAAGCCTGTTAATACTTTTAGCACTGGATTTAAAACAAAAACATTACATACAAAAATAAATGAATCATTTTGAAATCTACAGTTGAAAGTTTGGCATTCAAGCATGATATTACACTGTGGCATGCTGTTTATATAGTATTCTGTAATAAATGCAAACTTAACATACATAATGTTCTGACCACAGGTTGCTGCCTTCTCTGTTGCTTACATGATATTTAACCTAGCCATCAGAATTTATCACTGTTTTGCATTTTTATGTTTGGATGCCTCCCCCAAATAATGAGAAGATAAAGTATTCTGTGTGAAATATGAGACACTGCTATCTAATACAGTTTTGTTACTAATATTAAACAACATTTGGGTGAGAATCATTCAGTTCTCTGTAATTCTCCTGGCTTGTACTAAAATCCGTATAAATCAACACTGACAGAGTTATACTATTCTTACATCAGATTTTACTTTCAGTGGGTAAATAGGTCTGAGGTGTTGAGAATATAATTGATGCTATCAATAATGCTTTCAACCTTCAAACATTTTATGTAGTTTTATAAGTTTTAGCACTTATCAACACTACTATAGAAAGCATAATTTTTCATTCCTCATACATAATAAATGCTTTATATTAACATACCATTACTTCATTTTAATTTTCTATCTATGTCATAACAAATGAAAAATTATGTCAGCAAATGAAGATTCTGGGAGTACTAAAGTATGATGTTTTCTCTCAAGCACTTGGTATGATTTTACTTCTTATGTGACCTACATAACAATATGATTTTGCAATACAGTGTGTCTAATAAAATAGGCAAAATCAAATATCCTCTTAAATTTACTTTCATAAGGTTATTTTGAAAAATAAAATAAAATAAGCTCTTAAGATGCAGAAACTAGCTAGGAAGATAAAACTGATTTTAAATTTGCATTTTTGAAAAAGTCTCTTAAGGGTAATTTTGGCCAACACTATCAACTATCATTGTGATAGTAGAAACTGGGATTGTTCTATTGAATGTTCTATTTGTATAATTCTGAGAGAACCATTTTTTGTAGTTAAACTCCTGTTCACTAACAGAATAGATAAAATTGATTTAAGAAAAATTTTAGGCAGGAAATGAAGTTGTTTGCACTTACACATGATGTCTGATCAAGATAATGTGACTTCTCCCAGAAAGCTTTCTGTACTTTCTGGTTTACATTCCTTTCTAACTCAATGTCAAGGATCTAGCCAAGTTAAAACTTTAAGAGTTGCCAATTCTAATTACAGGAAGGTGTCTTAAGATGGCATAGTAAGAGTTAAGGGTGGGGCAATTCAGTATCCACATACCTGTCCTGGGGTAGTCACTGACCTGTATACACAATCCTGGGGGTGATTTTGTATTGTCGCAGGCATTCTAAAGTAGGGTGATGCCGTGTCCAGTTTTAACCAGGGCATCTCTGTTCAATCCTATTTTATTTCTGGAATCTTTCTAGAAACATTTGTCCCTGATTTTTTATTTTAATTTTTTCACCATTTTAAATACACATATTGGGGTGACATTGGTTAATAACACTATGTAGGTTTCAAATGCATGATTCTGTGATACATTATCTATAAATTGTATTGGGTGTGAACCTTGGGTGGTAAACACACAATCTTGTTTTTTTTTAAATTCTAATATTACTAGTAAGTGCATTACAATAAGCTAGAGTAAATTTGGCATCTACTTTTTACATGTATCTTCATAATGCACTACAAAATATAGAGTTTTAATATTAAAAATTTCTTTGGTTCAACAACTAGCCATATCATGTATTTGACTACTATTCCTGAAGCAGCAATAAGTAGTGTAGTTCTGGACACTAGGAATGGAAAATCACAATGGAAAGAAATTAGGTGAAGACAACGAGATCTCTTAGGAGAAGTAAGGGATGTGTTCACAGAAGAACAGTTAAAAGAACATCTTGCCAAATACTAACTGATTGATTAAATTGATTACTCTTAAGCAGGCTTTTGTTGAAATAACTTCATAATCATTACAAGGATCGATCGATTGATCTATCTATCTGTCTATGTAGCTATAACTTTAATTTTACATTCTATATGTTTAAGGTATACAATGTGTTGATTTGATATATTTATATATTGCAATATGCTTACCACCAAATCATTGCCTAACATCTCCATCACGTCGCATAATCATTACTTTTCTTGCAGTGAGACCTTTAAGATCTAACCCTTCAGCAACTTGGAAGTTTATAATGCAGTATCTTGGATGATAATCACTATAGTGAGCATTAGCTCCTCAAAACTTATCTTCTAAATGCAAGTTTCTACTCTTTGACCAGTAACTCCCCAATGCTCCCACTCTCAGCCCCTGGTAACCAGCCATCTACCGTCTGTTTTTATGTGTTGAGCTTTTTTAGATTCCACATGTGATGTTGTCTAGTTTTGTGTTTCTGTGTCTGACTTATCTTATTTATCATAATGCTCTTAAGGTCCACCCAAATTGTCACAAGTGGCAGGACTATATTCTAAAACACTTGAAATGAATTTGTGTACATTTTAAGTAGTCGTGCAGTATAAAACAAGTGTTAAAAAACTAACATAAAAATACTGAACAAAGCTGGTGTGGTTCAGGGGATTGAATGTCAGCTTGGGAACCAATAACCAAAGGGTCGTTGGTTCAATTCCTAGTCAGGGCACATGCCTGGGTTGTGGGCAGGTTCCCCAGCTGGGGGCCTGTGACATTTTTCACTTTCTCTTTCTTCCTCTACTCCCCTCTGTCTAAAAGTAAATAAATAAAATCTTTTTAAAAACCCCAGGAAACATTACAAAGACATTACATAGAATTAAGGTCCATGGTAAAGTTTCAATTTGATTACCAAAGATTACAAGGATTTTCTAGTAGAGTTTCTTGGTTTCTAAAATTAGATTGTAATGAAAAAAATCCTGGTGTTTGTTGCAAAGAAAATCACATGGGCTACTGGGTATTGTGTTATAGTTTTACCGGTCTTATTGATATGGCACATCACAAATCAATAAATGAGAATTTTGAAGAAAATCCATGATGCTAGATTCCATAGGGATAATGAAAAACTTAGTACTTTTAAAGAAATTTAATTTGAGCATTAATCTTAAATGTACAAGTACTTATTTTTTTATATTTTTATTGATTGCAACTGGATTTTAATGCCAAATGCTAATCAATATCTGGTAGATTTTGCTTTGTACTTAAAAAAAGTTTTTGAAGCAACAAGGTAGTTTACAGAAGGAAATTAAAAAGCAAAATAGTTATGCCCGTCCTCAATTTGATACTGTCTCAAGTTCATTTTAATAACCTTTATTAATGTTCCGTCAACATTCTCCAATTTTTTGAGTTACTGATCACAACATAGTTTTTGAAGGAAAGTTTTTTCATTTTTTTTCATTTCTCTGCTAATAACATACCTTTGAAAAACCTGAATTACACATTGTCACGGATTGGTCAATGGTTCATTTAATCATGTCTTAGGTCTACACACAATTCTACGTGCTATATGGGAATTGGAGCCATTCTGTATGAGGTTGCATTCTCTTGTCTGTACAAAAATATATTACATAGTATTCAAACTCAGAACAAAGAGGTGTGCTGGTATTTGACCATATATCATCATCGTACTCGCTAAGAAAGAAACCTCTGCAGAACTGAATTGATTGTTCAGTCATACCAGAGTGAATTTCTTGGAACCGTTTACTTTCCCTTCAGAGACGTCCATCATCCAGGTGACAGCAAGTGATGCTGATGACCCTTCCACTGGCTATAACGCTCATCTTGTGTACAGTTTGCTGCAAGGCCAACCGTATTTCTCCATTGAAGCAAAAACAGGTATTTTCAATGAAACGAAGTGCAATTCTGTATAATTCTCTGTAGACAAATATAACAGCAAAAACATTCAGCTTACAAACATGCTGTAAAGTAGACCTACTGTTACACAAATAAATGGGTTTTATTTTAAACACAATCATGTTTAGTCTTTTAGCTAATCTTTCTAAGGTTGTAAGATTGGTTTTTACACATCCATACCACACATGGCTAGTGTATGGGAAATAAGCCATATGTAAGGATTCTTGCTAATCAATTAGAAAATGACAGATTACCCAGTTAAAAATATGGGGAAAAGAACTTTACAAGCAATTTACAAAGAGTCTACAAGCATTTTAAAAATGCTCACCTCATTAGTCATCACTAAAATTTGAACTAAAACCACAATGAGATACACCTGCAAACCAAACCAGAATGACTAACATGAAGCATGAATTTGCAGCTGGATGTAGCAATGGACAGGAGCCATTCACTTTCAAAAAATAATTTTTTTGCAGTTTGTCTATTTTTTATTTAGATGTAAAACTTGAATTTCTAATATTGCTTTTCCAATTTTCATTCATTAATTGAATATTTTATAAAATAAATAGGACATGTTTCTTGTTTTTTAAATATGTGCATTGAATACATAAGAATTATATGACACTATTTCATTTTACAGACACTGATTAACATGTCCAAAACAAAGGTTAAGCCCATATAAATCCTGCCTTTCAGAGTTTATAGTTTCTAAAACTGGAAAGAGAAAACCCATACGAGTATGTAACTAACTGCTAAGAATGTGGCAAAAGAAGGAAACATTTATGCTGGTTGATAAAAGGCAAATTATTTTTCCATCTTGGTGACATGAAAAGCTTAAAAGAATGAAAACATTTTGGTGGGCCTTCAAACATCTCTTACTGATTCATTCAATGAGCAGATTATAAATGTCTTGGCCTTTATCAATCAGGGCTTCTTGGGAGAGATTCTAAAAAATAGAACTCGAGTGACTGTATTTGTAATTCTACCAAGCACAGTACCTAGTACTATATGTACCTCTATTATTCTGGGTGCACAAGACAAAAGCTATGTCAGTACGTGTAGTGGGTTCCTTAAGACATTATGTTTTCATTCGCTCACCGGATCTCGGTCGAGAAGGGTTGAATGCGTGACGGGCATTGTCCAACACGCTGGATTTGGAACGTTACAACCTAAAACAAGAACATGGAGTCCTCTCCTGGAACTTACAAGTGTAGATTGAACATGTGAGCACTCACAGATACATATACTCAGCTTGTGAATATTATTTAAGTGAAACAAACATGACCCAATAAGAGAAAGAGAGGACTGATTTATACCGTGTGGTCAAGACAGAACACACTGGAACCCGAATGCAGAGCGGAGAGCCCAGGGGCATTCCAGGTCCTGGGAAGAATGTATGAGGCGCTCCTGAGCTGGGACAGTGGTGAGCTCTTAGAGTAGAGGTCCCCGTGGAAAAGCTCAGAGCAGGAGAGTAGAAAACGAGGTATCCGAACAATAGACATGTTCTGGGTCATACTGGAGCTTCTGGACCATTTTGAAGCATTATCTTTTCCTGTCTTTTTCCCCCAACCATCACTGTTTTTTAAAAAATGTATTGAGCAACTTAGGGAAAGCTATGAATTGCATTAATGGAGACAAGGTGGAGTGGGCAGCAAGAAAAATGAGAGCCTCCAAAAAAATGAAGTTGTAAGTTTTGGAGTATATGAGAGGGTCTGGGAATATACAAGATCCAGCAGAAAGAACACCTTAGTGTGGCTGGTAGGGTACACGAATGTCACACAAAAGATAGCAATTTGAACATTTCACTTAAAATGTCCTACAGTGTGCTTGAGTGGGACATTGCTGTATCACAGAATGACATGCTTATGGTTTTGTAATAAAAGATTTTGTAATAAAAAGGGTGCTATTTGTGCCAGACCCTGTATATCCTTTGTTCAGTCTGAAGGTGAGAAGAAAAGTTAAAAATAATGAAGATGAAGTTCATGGAAGTCTCTGCACCCAGGGAGCAAAGGTCTCTATGTTCCTCTCACTGCTTAACTGGCCTCCACATCTTTGGATGGATCACATGTGCCAGAAGCTCTAACACTGTTTTCCTGTGCTAACATGAAATAACTCCCTCTTGAGTCACACATTGGGAGATACTAGCCGCATCTGTTCAGTATATTCAATGGTTTTCATACTGAGTCCCATTATTGATTATAATTGTGAAATACCCTATCCACAGTTAAAATCCTGTCACAATGCAGTCTATTTTATTATTTAGAAATAGCTGATATCATAAGTTTTCTGATGAAGGCTGTTTTTCCAGGTGCATTTGAGGATTATATTTCCTGTGTCTTTGTTAAGTGTCCCCAAATCTTCAGGATGGCATTCCCCTAGGAACCGCTGAAATCTTTCCCAGGCTTTATTCAGCAATAATGTTTTTACTAACTGATTTTCTAGAAAGTGGTCATGCATTACCATATTTATCATGGTTCATCTTGAGTTTGAACATTTGTGCATATGTTCAACTCTATTGGTAGATCATGAGTAATTATTTTTTGACAGTTAACTCAAGTTTATCTTGCAAACTCATTACAAAACACATTTGACTTGATATTTCAACCATAGTTAACACCATAACAGGTTAAACTCTGAATTAAAAAATACCAAATAAATGGTACAGATATATGATTTCACCTAGTTTATCCAAGTGAAAGCATCTGTATCAGACTATATCTTGAAATCATCTTCTATTTAAAGTTGTGTAAGGCAGCTGATAGATTGCGATAATATAGTCTAACATCCGTTCAAAATTCGTTCCATGATACATATCATAATTATGTTTCAAAAAACCAACCTTTCTTTATACATCAGGACTCAAAATAGACATCACAGGTGCACAATATTTTTTACATAAATTTGGTGTCGTAATTTACACATTTACCCATGATAAACTATCTTATGCCAAGTTAAGAAGAAAAGTTAGTTGTAGCACACTAATATTATACTAGAGAAGATAGCAGAAAATAGTTGATGTAAAAATAAGACAGTCTTCTTTTGTGCCCATGGGTTATCATAAAGTGGGGTTTTATTAAGGGTCTACTAGTGTTCTTAATGTTGTGATGACACACTAAAATTAAGGCAGAATTGTTTGATTTATTATTGTTATTTTTCTCTGGAGCCGTATCTAGTACATTATGATGATATGAAATATGTCAGAAGTATGATTATACAGTTGAAATCTTAAAAAATTAACTAGGAAGGTGCCATGGTTAATAGAATAATAATTGGAGTTTATCCCACTTTTAAAGGCACTATAAGAATATCTTCTAAAATGGACAGAGAACTGCAAGATGAGTATTGGGTAATTGTTCAAGCCAAAGACAAGATCGGCCTGCCTGGGGCACTGTCAGGAACAACGAGCGTATTAATTAAACTTTCCGATGTTAATGACAATAAGCCCATGTTTCAAACAGGTACGTAGAAAGCATCTTGGAATTTTATTAGTGTCATTGTAAGTATGCTGAGTATACGTGCAGCTGTTAGTTCGCATTCTAAGAGCACTGCTACAGCCCTAAAATTATATAAAACAAATTTAATGGTTCTAATTGTGATTATTTTCATTAGTGTGAAAAGTCAAATACAAATGAAAGAGCAATATGTTCTTTTTCGATTGCTTCTGTAACCAATCACCACCGACTTCATGTCTTAACGCAAACTGGTTACCTTAAAGATGTCTGGTACAGGGGTCAGCAGGTCAAGTCTGACCAACCACGGTGTGACTGTAGGGGCTGCCTTCCTTCCTCTGAGCTCCAGGGCAGGACCTATTTTCTCAGATTTGGGTGTTGGCAGAATTCAGTTCTTTGTGTTTGTAGATTCACGGTCTCTGTCCCCTCAATGGCTGTCAGCTGGAGGCCATGCCCAGCTTCTAGAGGACCCTTTCTGGGTTTTGTGCAAGCCACATATCTCAGAGGCAGCAAAGGCTGCCATCACACTGACCCTCAGCTTTACCTCTTCTTCTGCTTTAAGGACACAGGTGATTACAATGGGCCCATTTAGAGAGACCCATCTCCACAGTCAAGGTCAGCTGACTAGCAACTTTAATTCCACCTAAAACCTTAATTCCCTGTTGCATGTTTTCAGGGGTATTAGGACACAAATACCTTTGGGAGTCATTCTCTGGCCTCTGACCAGTAATGATCTAAAATGAATATATCTTATTTTTTATTTAGCAAGAATAAATCAGAATTTCTTTTGACATAACAAGAAGGAATTTATTTTTTATGGAGCTTCTTTTTCAGGGGTGTCTGTCTTAGCTACAGAAATAAATCTGCAAGCATTTCCAGAAATCATGAGCAATTATCATGATGGAAGGAAAATGTGATGAGCATAGAACAAAGAGAGAAGTAGATCGAGCAGACACACACACATGAAATGATGCAGACTCCGCTCAGGGTGACCACTGTGTGCCAGGCCAGGGTTGTCAGGTTTTTCTGAACTTTTGAGAAACACTAGAATTCTGAATATTTACTCCTGTGCTATCATCCAATTTTAAATTTTATTAGTTTGAAAATGTAGCCACTGGTGTTATTTTCAAATAGAAATTGTAAATATTTGGGGTGTACGACATGATGTTTTGAAAGAGTTATGGTGAGATCATCACTGTGGTCAAACTAACTCACGTATTGTCTCTGCCCAGCTTGCTTGTGTGTGTGCGTGCTGAGTGCACTGAGGTTTACTCCCTTAGCAAACTTAAATTATTTAATATAGCTATGTTAACTATAGTCACCACGCTCTACATTTCTAGAACTCATTTCTAGATTTCTAGGATGTAGTCACCCTACGTAATTGCAGCTTTGTAGCCTTTGAGCTACATCTCCTCATTCCTTTGTGAATACAATTTGGGCAGTGGGGTAGCATTGTGTGACCTTCACCTTCACGCTATGAATGGTATCGTGTTTGTGACTCTCTCCACACGTGAATATATCCCCATAGGCAAGAATACAATGTCTAATGAAATCCAAAATGTGCAGACCTTTATCAAATAATTGGCGTATACATAGACAACATAGAAAAATAGTGGCTGAATTCACTGAACAAATCTAGTCTATTTCACCAGATTAATTCGTTGGAAATTTTATACTGTGCGATCAAATAAACAATTATTTTTATTTCCCCACAGTGAAATAAACACTGCATCACAGCTAAACTGTTATTTCCTTAAAGAATAACAGGCTAGCAACTTTAAAGTAACATTTTCACTTAAAAAAATAAAGGAAAGTCCTTCAAGGTGATCTGTGAAGTGGCTAAAAGAAATAAGAATGCTCCTGAGGAAATCAATAATCTCCTTAAAGAAAATTATATTACATGGTCTCCTGTTTAATACTAAGAAGTTTCATTCTTTAGAATAATACAATATATTATTATTTCCTACATTTTTGTATAAATTGAAAAATTAATAATATAAGACTGGCTAGTCTTTTTCAGTTTTAGGCAAGATACTTCTGTAAATAAGGAAAAGAGCTGTTACTTCTATTTATTATCTATGTGTTTCAAGTATAGTTACCATTATATTATTGTTGCTAAACAATAAAGTCATCTAGTTTAAACATAGTGTTTCTACTACATCCACTTACCAAATTTTATGGGTCTAACTTCCTTCTTCACTTCCACTAAGTAAGTCTAATGGAATCCAGGCTCAAAACCTCAAAGTCAAACTATTATACTTATAATTCAACTATAGCTCATAGTCTGTCCCATCATTAACTCATGCTTACATGTTTTCGGTTATTTTAGGTATAAGCATGCTTAAGTGAAATTGAAAAACTTTTTAATCAGATTTACTGTTGGTTCATTGAAGCGTATAATAAAATATATCAGTGGATATTGGGAAGGTTTTTTATAAGTAGAAATTTGGAAATTATATGTACTGGTAATAGGACTTACTAAGATATTTAAGAGAGCATAAAAGATGCTCAAATAAATTTTTGAAGAACTGTGCAGATGGTAAAAACAAAGGAAGTGCATGTATGTATACAGGCACATGTGTCAGTTGGCTGGGCGTCACTGTTCAACTCCCAGTTAAGGCACATGCCTGGGTCCTGGGGTCAGTCCTTTATTGGTCAGTGTTCCTCTCCCTCCTCCTCCCCCCGCTTTCTCTCTCTCTAAAAACAAATAAAATCTTTAAAAAAAGATGGGCATGGGTTTCCCTAGGGTCCATAAATAAAGGGTGCTATTATTGGGAGATTCTTACGTTTATTATTTATATGAAGTATCTTGAATTTTGTTTTTGAAGGTTTATACCGCATGAATGTCTCCGAATCTGCACCCACCGGTACTTCTATAGGAAAAGTCGTGGCCTATGACAATGACATAGGAGACAATGCAGAAATGGAGTATATCATTGAAGATGATTCACAAACATTCGATATCATCACTAATCATGAGACCCAAGAAGGAATAGTTGTATTAAAAAAGGTAGATATATTAAAATTATTTGCCCTTCAGAATAATGCAAAATCAAATCAGAAATATATACAATTATTTTGTGTAGCCAGTTGGTTTTGAAATGAGAACCTGTGATTTATTTATGGTTTAGGGAGACATGGAATTCAGAGATGTGATTTTTGTTATTACAGAGCTTCTTAAATTATATGCAGAATGTTTTTTAAAAATATTCTAGGTAGAGGACAAACTTTATGAAAAGATCTTAAATGACAAAAATTAATTCTTAATTCCACAAGATATTTATCCCCAGAAAAGTATAATTTTAAACCTAAATTAAAAATATAGTTAGCATCCCAAAGCATTTTGTAATAGATATAAATAACAAAATACAAATAGGGATTTACTGTGCAACTGCTTAATGATTCCATCAAAGGGGTCCAGGTAGATAAAAAGTTAAACCAATATGCCATTCATGGGCACAGAAATGTACACCTGAAACCTATAAAATCTTATTAAAAGATGTCACTGCAATAAAGTAAATTAAGAGGAAAAATACAAAACAGAACAACTTAAGGGAAAAAAAAGTAAAACCTAACTGAAACTGAGGTAATGCAACAACAAAAATCTTTCTTTTTCTAAGTAATGCCTTGGGTTACTAAAGCCATTTCTTCTGTGTACGCTGTATTTCTTTATAGAAGGTGGATTTTGAGCAGCAGAACAACTACCGTATTAAAGCAAAAGTTAAAAACCCCCATGTTGATGAGCAGCTCCTGAAATACCACGCCGAAACTTCCACCACGATCATTAAGGTCCAGGTGGGAGACGAAGATGAACCCCCCGTCTTCCACCTCCCGAATTACGTATTTGAAATCTCCGAAGGAAGCCCTCCGGGATCGTCAGTGGGCAGGGTCTCTGCCATGGATCCAGATCAGAAGGGATCTCCTATCCGGTATGTCCACAAGGCCAACTGCAGTAATGAATGCATGGACAAAGACTGGCTTAAATTTGCGATGTTATGCCTATGAAACAAGGATGTGACCATATTTATCTATATAGTACTTAAGGGCCTCATTATTGGTTAGAAAGCCATGAAATAAGCAACTGCAAACATGCAAGAAATAAACAGCCATCATCTAAAACTGGATGCGACCATCTCTATGAGTAGGGTTAAGAAGGTGAAGGTAAAGGAATCCTTGATTACGCCCAATTAAGGAAGACACAAAGCTGATCCAAATGTGGTTCAATTTTAATAGTATTTAATTAAAATGGTATTCAAAAATTGAGAAAGGTTTTTTCAGCTTTGGCCAGTTGGCTGAGTTGGTTGGAGTTGTCACACACATCAAAAGAATGTGGGTTTGATTCCTGCTCAGGGCACCTGCCTGGGTTGCAGATTTCTTCCCCCGTCCTGCAGCTTACAAGGCAATCCGATCAATGTTTCTTTCTCTCTTGCATCACTGTTGCTCTTTCTCTCTCTCTCTCATTCTCGCTGTCTCCCTTTCCCTCTCTCTAAAAATCAATAAACATACTTGCAGGTGAGAATGAAAATAAAATTGAGAAAGTTTTTTATAGGATACCACTTAAATGGGTAAAAATGGAGTAAGTCTAACCAGAAACAAATTTCTGTTACTGTTCAACAGCATTTGCCATACACTAGAGTGCTGTATTCACTCTGTTTTCTTCTTCTTCTTTTTTAATATGTGAATTACAGGTCTGGTTAGACATAAGAACAAAGTCTGTTCCATGTTCCCTTCATCTTGTATTTACCACAACCCCCCATGTAGACGCTGCCTCTGCCGTGCGCTTTGCAGAGACTGCAGATTCGAAGAAGAAGCTTCCTTAAATCTGTGAGAGAAAGAGAAGCTCCCACTTTCCCACTCTAATTACTAATCAGAAAAACTGCTAATAGGTAGATATAGTTCCTGTTTAGTTATAGTAATCTTAGGAAAAACTGTAAGTGTATAAATAATATATATATGTATCATTATTACCCAGTAAATCAGTTGTTTAGATTTTTGTAGTATATTTATCAACTTGTTGTTCTTTTTAGAATATTTAAGAATATCAAATATTTTTCATTCATATAGTTAAAGATTTTATTTGTTTACTTTTAGAGAGAGGGGAAGGGGGGAAACAGAGGGAGAAAAACATTGAGGTGAGAGAGAAACAGTGATTGCGTGTTTCTCGTATGCACCCCATCCTGGGATTGGGCCCACAACCCAGGAATGTGCCCTGACCGGGAATCGAACCTGTGACTTTTCGCATTGCAGAATGATGCCCAACCAACTAAGCCACACCAGTCAGGGCTACCTAATATTTTTAAAATGCTTTAATGACTCCACTGTTCATTATATTATTATTTATGATAATAAAATGTTGAAAACAATTTAAATGTTGAATTTTATTGACGTAAATAAGGCATCGAATGATGATTTACAACAATGCTTATGAACATTGATTAAAAAACATAGTATGATTTTAAAAGATAATACAAATTATTAGCGTTGTATGTTTACTACAAGTAAAATGTTAGGTATATATGAAGCAAGTAGGTGAGACAAATATTAATAGAGGTTGTGCATTTTACAGTACCACTTCTGGTGATTACTTATCTTATTTTTTTACAAAAATATTTATTACTAAGAGTTTTCATTTTTATACTGAAATTAATTACTTTTAAAAATAGTTTGTGGAGCACCTATCAACAAAAATATATTTTGATGCCTTTTCTGGACATTTTTTTCCATTTAGAAGTATCTTTTAAGTAAGATTACTTTTCAGTTTTTTCCCTTGTAATATAGCAAATGTGCAAAACATATCATGGAAACAAAATTAAATCTATATATACTTGGCTTGCATGTGTGTCCATTTCTTCTGAGAAATGGGAATAGAACTTTTGTAGTTGTACAAACGTTAAGAACAAAATGTAAAGGCAGCTGGAGATGGAGTCATGAAAGAATCTTTTGTTTACATAATTTTGGCCGGGGCTTTGAGCAACGAGAAAACATTGCACCGTCCCATTTTATTCATCCAGCTTTTTAAAAACGTGATTTATTGGGCATGACACTGGTTAATGAGACTCTCTTGGTTTCAATGTACAATTCTATGACACGTGATCTCCCATGTTGCATTGGGTGCCCACCACCCAGAGTCAACTATTTAGCACCCACCCCTATTGTCCTTTGTTATGCCCCCGCCCCATTCCCTCTGGAAACCACCATAATGGTGCCTGTGTCTGAGATTTATTTTGTTCATTTGTTCTTCTTGTCTGTCTGTTTGTTGCTTTCAGTTTCAAAATTCAACTTTTAAATTGTTTTATAACATATGAGTGAAACCATGTGGTTCTTAACTTTTTCTATTTTGCTTGGCATGATAGTCTCGAGATCCACTTATGTTGTAGCAAATGGCAGAATTGCATCTTTCTTATGGCTGAGTAGTATGCGATTGAGTACATTTTTAAAGAAATGGAGAGTCCATAAAAGGCAATGTGAAGTGAACCAAAGATTCATCTTTTAAGCATCAAACATTTACATTTTAAGCTTTTTAGCTCAGGCTCTTAAAAATGTATTTCAGACGTGTTTCCTATCCTAAATGTGTTTATTGACTATTACTTAAAATGCTACTGCTCACTGAAGATCATGATTTTTAAAACTTTTACTTGGAAATAATCTTTAACTTTTAATTGGTTTTATTTTGACTGGTGTGGTATAGAAACTGGATATTCTAGATATTTAATATGAAATATTAACTGGTAAAGTGCTGTTTCATGTGTCAACAAATATCTTCAGTAGAAAATTTGACCATTTGTGGGCATGTAAGTAAATCACTTATAAAGTTTAAAAGTGAGTAAAGTTCAAACTGAATTCCTCTAAAGCTTTATTCTCTGTAATTTCTATTTTAATTCTCCCTGGAATACCAAGCTACAAATTAGTGACATTTTTAGAAACCTGTCAATTGAAGATTAAAATAGTCCCATCTTTTATCATCCAATTATGGCAAACCTCATTGATGTCTCATCAAAGTCTTCCGGAATATTCTTGCAATGAGAAGCCCTCCCCTAACCCTAGTTATTACTCTTCTTTAATTTTCATTATTAATCATTTGCAGCCAGATAAGACATGCTGAGTACTTCAAAGGCTCCTTTCAGTGTGAAGTTGAAGATCATTTTCCAGACTTTTCAGTATGCAAAACATGTTTTATTCCTGTATTATTATTATTTATAAATTATATCTTACATACATTATGTTTTATATAACTTATTGTATTATTTCCATACAAACAACTGTCAACCTGCCTTTGCCTTTATATACATAACAATGTGATAATAGTTAATACATTTTCTTTCATCAAACAAAAACTAATAATTTCTGATAGCTTGGCTATCAGGTGATTATACTATGATACACAGATTTAGCAAGCAACTCTGTGTGTTGGAGTGAGACAAAGCAATCTAAGCTAATAATTTGTTTTATGTTGCTTCATATTAAAAAGAAAAGGTTCACATGCATTCATTTTTATCCCCATTTATTTGCATTTCTCCTTATTTTGTAAATTACATTTTGCCATTTCCTTTTTAAACAAGTTACTCACTTATTAACATTCTCTCTTGAGAATGAATATGAGTTTAGATTGAGCAAACATCAGTTTAAACCTGAAGCCACTTTAGTTTCTTTTTTCCTATCTTGACTCAATTGAAATACATATATATAGGTGTATATATGCATATATATATGTATGCGTATATATCTCTTTCTGAAAATTGTTCAGAATTTAATTAGCTATGTGGAGCATGCGTTTAACAATGTGTCTTATTGTTTTGAAAGCGTGAATACAGAGAAAAAATAAAATGAAGGGACACTCTTCTTTGGTTCAGGTATTCTATACACGTCACCGGAAGCAGCGAGTTCTGCATCGATGACAATGGCACCATCTTCACAGTCAGTCCTCTGGATCGAGAGACCAGTGCTTGGCAAAACCTGAGCATCGAAGCCGTGGAAGAGTGTAAGTCTTCACTTGGGTACTGCACATCAGTTCACTTCGATGCCCGGGCACAGGGACAAGAGCTTGCTTACCATGTTATTGGAGTTAGGGTTAAATATTTTATGTCAATTTATACATGTGTATTTATTTCATTATTTTCAGTTAACAATGTCTGCTCGTTGCTGCTGTTGTGCTTATAAATTGCTTCACCATTTACACTTCAGTAGTAGTAATAAACAAACCACCTGAATCATAGAAAACAGAGGATCACAAAGAAAGTGTCAGAAAAAAACACCTGTTGCATGTGGCAGCTACCTGGAAGCATGAGGCACAACAGTTACATGGATTGTGGGAGAGAGATGTTGTCTTGGGACATTTGCCTTCTCAGCAAATGAAGTTCACGGTGCTTAGTCTCTTTCCTGGAAAACTTCCCAAATTAAGCAACAAGCTATTTATCAGCATGTCAGCTAAGTGAGTAGAACCACTATCTTAAAATAAAGCTGTGAAGATATCAGTACATGTATGTTTTAAATAGTCATGTCAAAAGTTTAATTTGAACAAAATTTTAAACAGAATTTTCACAGAACAAGAATAGAAACTTAAAATGAATTTCTTACTAATTTTTCTTCAATTTATTTGTACCTGGAATTTTTTTCCACTCACTTAAACAAAAAAATTTTTCTATGGTGATATGTTACATGTTTAAATCATTCAAAGATGCACCTTAAATTTGAAATCATTCCATCTTGAAATCTCTAGGAATGCTTTTTATATTTTAATATGTTTATTTGTTTTCCTAAATATACCATGATAGAGAAGAGGCTGGAAATAATTCTTAATGGCTTATGTATTTCCTAAGAGCCATGGATTGGTGGTATATATTAAACTTGCAATTTATAATATTGAAGTAAATGAAAATTGCAATTTCTATCATAATTGTAACTGATTAATTGGGGAAGATAGTTACAAACAAAATTTCACCCCAACCCAGAAACCTTCTCTATGACAATGGAAAATAAACAGTTTTATCACTGAAAAGCATTAATGCAGAACATGATGTGCATTCAAGGAAATCTGCTAAGAGACTGCCAAGATGGAAGGAACTCTCTCCCTCTTGCACACCCAGGCAGGCACAGCCCATCACAAGCTGTTCTCAAGAGAAGCAATTACCAGCCTTCAAGTAGGAGGGCTTCACATCACTCGTCCCACGCAGCTCCTTTTAATTTCACTAGGTAGTTGGATTGCCCACCTGAGTTTGCTAATTGACTTTCTCCAAATGAAAACTAAGCTTTTCATTCCTGTATGACAAAAGGTAATTTTGCAAGTTGGGTCATGGCCTTTGCCGACGTTTGGCCCCCAGCCCCTCACAGAAACTGGAAGGAAGGTTGCTCCCTGCTAGATGACACATTTTTCCCTAAAAGTTATTTATTTATTTAAAAATATATTTTATTGATTATGCCATTACTGTTGTCCTGTTTCCCCCCTTCATTCCCCTCCACCCTGCACACCCCTTTCCACCCACCATTCCCCCCTTTAGTTTATGTCCATGTGTCACAAGTTCTTTAGATTCTATATTTCCCATACTATTCTTGCCCTCTCCCTGTCTATTTTCTATCTACCATCTATGCTACTTATTCTCTGTACCTTCTCCTCCTCCCACTCCCCTGTTGCTAACCCTCCATGTGATCTTCATTTCTATGGTTCTGCTCCTGATCTAGCTGTCCTCTTAGTTTGCTTTTGTTTTAGGTGTGGTTGTTAAGAACTGTGAGTTTGCTGTCCTTTCACTGTTCATCTTTTTTACCTTCTTTTTCTTAGATAAGTCCCTTTAACATTTCACATAATAAGGGCTTGGTGATGATGAACTCCTTGAATTTGATCTTATCTGAGAAGCACTTTATCTGCCCTTCCATTCTATACTTTACTTTCAGGGATCATTTTTATAGTTTGTTACTAGATGGCACATTTTGAAGGGTCGGCTCCCAGTACTTGAGAAAGACAGAGCTGTGTTGGAAAGTTGGCAAGAGGACTTCTAACTATTAAAAGGCTTACATGCATATCAAATGTTCTAAGAGGAAGGAAAGACGGTCTTTTCCCTTACTTTTAACAGAGAGAATTGTCTCTTTATTTTATTTTGTAACATTAATTATTTTTATTTTTATTCATTATTGTTCAAGTACAGTTTTCTACCTTTCCTTCCTCTCCACATCCCTCCCCCATTTCTATCCCCCTTGTTATTGTCCGTGTGTCCTTTATCATTGTTCCTGTAAACCCTTCACCTTTTCCCCCCATTATCCCCTCAGCCTGTTCTCAATTTCAATATCTTTGGCTATACTATGCTTGCTTGTTCATTTTGAGAATTATCTCTTTAAAAGAGGCTTCACATTAAAAACTACAGTTGTCAATATAATGCTTTTACAGGAGCAAGAGAACCTATTGATTATAAATAAAAGCATTAAGAGAAATGAAGTAACCTCCCTCTTCCTACTCTTTAATTGTGTATACCTTTCCAACAGCATGTTTAAATGAGAGAGAAGTATTAAAAATAATGTTATACATATATAGAATATATTATGTCCCATCTTGTTTTAATCATTTCACAAAATATGTATATTACCTCTGGTTAGTAGATAAAATAACATTTGACATTTATCGCTCCTTTATATGTTAAGAAATATTCTAAATGCTTTATGAATATTAATTTATTTAATCTTTATAACAGTTCTGGGAGTAGATACTAGTATCATTTCCATTCTGCAGAGAATCAACTGAAATAAACAGTATCTAAGTAATTGTCTCAAAATGAGAACTAAGATTAAAAGTCAGTTTTAAAACTCATGATATTAACACATTTGTTACATTGACTCATTCATTTTTAATAAGCACCCAGAATTTCATAGGATGGTTGTAATTTATTTTGCCAATTCCCTTCTGATATACAGTTGGGTTATTTCCAGTTATTTGTGATGCCAACAGTTCTGGAATGAATACACCGAATCCTATACTCCTGTATACTGGTGCTGAAGCAGGATAGCAAGAAGCTAGGGAAGTTCCTTGGCAGGTGGAATGGGGGAATGGAGACAGATAGTTAAATAGCTGAGCAATTCACAGCCAAATAATAAATCACATCTTATCTCCCCTAACCAAGGACACTTAGGAGCAAATGGTTTATACATTCTAGACGGTGCTGGAGCACACCTGCCTCGGTCCTGGTTCTTCTCTGGTGACATTCTTTGAAGGTGAAACTGACCGGAAAATGACCCTGACCTCTCTGTATGCTCATTTTGATAAATCAGCATATTGAAGGACATACCTGGAAAGCTGATGAATATTCTATTAAGATCCTTCCCTGAGACCTCCCATAAAATTTCTGCCTTTAACAGATAAAAATTCTTAAAAATAAAGGACCCAGTGCACACTCTTTCTCTTTCTTCAGCATGTCTGTGCCTTCCCCCCTCCTTTCCTCAGGGATGTATCTTTGCTTTCTTTCCTCTAAAGCTCTAAAAGTTCCCAGGAGACTTGTAACCAGGGGAACAGTGGGAAGTAGCCACTTATCCTGGGCAAACCCCTGAACCTGTCTCCAAGGGACACCCTTTGCCTCTGTAACTCGTTTCCCGAGTCAATGCTCCCCAGCCAGCTCACATCTTCTGCCCCCTTGACTTTCTTTCTAAAGGGCCAACACAGCGGCACTTAGGTTTGACTCTTCCTCATGTTTCCCAAAGGCCGAGGCAGCTCTGCCTAGGCTCCTTCTTGTTGCTGTGGTCTTGCCTCTTCTATCTTATGCCCTTCTCTTGCTTCATTGCCCCCAACTTTAATAAAGGTACTTTCAAAATCGCCTGGACTGGTACTGTGAAATCCTTCCTGCATGGAGTCAAGAACTCACACATTTCAGACTGGGCAGGGGCAGACCCCAGGTTTCCCATGCAAATTACTGGGCCAAAGATATATGTAATGTAGCTTTCACTGTCTGTTGCAAGATAAGGTTCTAGAACAGGTTTTCCTTCCCATTATTTCTCAGCATTCCACCATCCCTGTTACCACCCCCCCCCCATATTTAACACCAATTTCATGGACCAAATCATCATTGTCTACACTTTCGGTGAGCAAGAGCCTTTGTGAATGTTATAATAGAGCAGCGTGGGCTGCTCAACTGTGGGCTATTTTGCCCCCTGGGACATCTGACAATGTCCGAGGACAATTTTGAATATCGCAGCAAGTGTCGGGATTGCTTCCGGCATTGGGTTAGTATAGAGACCAAAAGACGCTGCTACACGTCCTACAATGCACAGATAACCCCTCAAAATGGAGACTCATCCAGTCTAAAGTGTCAATAGCGACAAAGCCAAGAAGGCCTAGTTTGAAATCACTTGAAGTTTTCTCATCTGGGAATTTGTGGTTTGTGAATATTTCCACTGATTTGTCTTTTTCATGCCATTTGTCAGGATTTGAAAATGAGAGCTATTAACATTTCATCTTGTGATGCAAACACTTATCCAGAACAGTGCCGTTTGGTTTTGATTTGTCTTTTTTACATTGCTTTCTGCCATTTAGAAAGTGTATTTACCGCATCTTCCCATTCTTTCATAGTTCCTGTATTTCTATTTCTTGACTCATTAAGAACACACTCCCAACTCAATGTATATATAAAACTCTACTTAGATATCACTTTCATTATCTTATTTTACCACGTATTTAGGTAATTATTTCATGCCCTGTTTTGTTTTTAAAGACAACACTGGGTCGTGGTGCCATTAAGAGCACTGACTAGCAGCTTCTTAACTGCCTTGTACGCTTTAGCTGTGACCTTAGGCGGGTCATTTAACTGTAATTGATGACACTGAACAGTTTCTCAACGTTCTTAATACTCCAGCTGGGGAGAATAATAGCACACATATTCATCAGCATTGGATTAATGAACACAAATCTGTTAAAAATTCCTGGATTTTAGGAGGATGTTCATATAACTATCTTTTTTACTATAGTTTCTCATCAGCTCCTATGTGTATGGCAGGTACAAGGCACTTCATAAAAATTGGTTGAGTGGAATGTGCTAAGAACATTCTTTTCTAGCCTGTATTGTTGGTGAACATATGAATCATATGGAGAGGCTGTCCTGAGACAGCTTTTATTTAATGGAATTATATCACATACCCTCTAACATGCTTTTTATAAATTTCCCCCTAGTGAAAGAATTAACATTGTTTATTTTTATTCTGTGTATTGCAGACAATGCTGAACAGATTTCTTCCATTCCTGTATATGTACAAGTTCTTAATATTAATGATAATGCTCCCGAGTTCTCTGACAACTATAAGACTTACGTTTGTGAAAATGCAGACTCTGGTCAGGTAAGACCCTACTCAACTCCTGACATATTAATCACATGCTTTTATGCTGTGTGTTCTGTATAAATTACATTTCTTTTGAAAAACAATAACATGCCACACTTTGACAGTGTTTCAATGTCTTTATATAATCTTTATTACAGTTTTCCATTACCATGCAGTCCCCTTAAACCTCCCTGGCCCCTCACAAATACCATACTCATTGTCCATGTCCACAAGTCCTTCTCCCATTTGCTCAGTCCTTCCACCCCCAACCATCCTCCAACAAGCTTCCCCGCTCCCCATAACAATCACCACACTGTTCATAGACACAGATATCTTACAGCTCATTCCGAATCTCTTAAGAAAGGACTGAGGCCCATGCTAAGAACTTGTAATGTGTGACCCTACTCTTAACTATTACTGTTCATAGTAACAAAATTACTTTTAATAAAGGCCAGTTCTGCCCATTTACTTAACTAATAGAGTTCTATATTTACTAATTCCTTGTAAGATAGGAATTATAGCCTAAAAGTTGTATCATTCTTTTCAAATACTTGTAGCAAAAAAAAAGACAAAATTAAATGCCAACATACACATATAAACTCAAATTCAAACACATTATTATACATAGGCTGTCAATATCACATGTAAATTATAATTAAAAGCAATTTCTGAAAGTATTAAAAGGTAATAACTCAAAAACAATGCATTTAGGAGTATAAACATGCTATTAACTTGTATATTCACCTTATTTTAATTTCCAGAATTAATCACAATCTCACTATGTGATCTTGACAGCATATCTCTTCCTTTTTGACAATAATGAACAACTTGACTGACACATTCATGTCTTGAAAGAAGATAATTAATTGAGAACTGATTTCTTCATAGCTCATCACTTCACCCTTTTATGATCTAAGATACAGGAGATTGTTTGATGCGGAACACGTTTATTATATTCTTTATGAGTCAAAGGAAATCATGTATATCACTCTTTTGCTTTAAATGCACTATTTTCTTAAATCAACTTTAAAATCTCATTACTTTGGCAAATACTTTAGTGAGACAATAATTTCATCACAGTTATGCACTTGATATAAGCAGGGGCTATATGTTTTCAGCATATCCTACTGGCTGGCATTCAGATAGGGAAGAGAGAGGGGATATGGCAGGAAGGTCGGGAGGGGGTCTTTGAGAATGTCTAACAAAGAGCTCATGGAGACTGTCTGGCTATAATAAAATGTATTTGTTATATAATTTCAAAACTCTTTTGAACAGGGCAAATAAAGATATTTTAACCTGAGGAAATATGTTATTATCTCTATCATTTTGATAATTATCCTCTGTGACGTCCGTACATTTTTATAAAGCAATTCAAAAAAAATAATGACAATGGTAACAATGATCTTTTTTCCTGAGTGAAAAAAACCCCACTTTTTCTATTTTTTTCTAGATAATTCAGACCATCAGTGCCGTGGATAGAGATAAATCCATAGAAGACCACTATTTTTCCTTTAATTTATCTGTGGAGCACACACAGAACTCTAGTTTTACCCTCATAGATAACCAAGGTAATTCCATTCACTTGTGATGGCTTTTGATCTACTCTCCTAGCATCGTGGTGATATTAAGTGAACTTACAGCGTTGCTTTTTACACTGTTACTGCAACATGATAATGTTGAGACAGAGAGCAAGAAGTAGAAATGAGAATGGGAAACAAAACCCAATGTGAACTGCTGAAAATACTACCCATATTTTCTGCTGGATTTCTTGAAATTAGAAGCAGTTTTTCAAGTCATCAGTGGCTATAAATCCTTGTAAAGTCTGGATGACTCTGTAATGTAATTTCAGTTCTGACACAATGGTTCCTTTCACATCATCACAAAAGTCAAACTTCAGTAGATTCTGGGAGAGAAAGGGATGCATCTTTAACTTGTCATAGTCATGTTTGCTTGGTTAAGTCAAAGATAATGGGTGTCAATAATTATGTCTGTAACTCTATGAAGTTGGTTCAATATTTTTTTCCTTCAAAATGGGATGATTGTATCACTGTAAGGACAAAATGTTCTAAGAATCCCATACAGAGACACAGTGTTTCTTTTCCTTCCATAGAAGTGATGAACTTTATAGAGAGCCACTCTGTTCTTTTCTTAAATTCAGTAAAATATTTTTATTGTCATATAGATTTTCATATTAATTTTGCTTTATATCCCCAAATTGTGAATCACCTTTGGGTTTATTATTCAAGCATCTGTTACCAAATGCCTCCCCCTGTCCTTCTGGACAGTAGGATTTTGTCTTCAATGTGGGGACATCTTTTGTTGGAACAGTAAATACAGACTCGTGATTTCCTTTTTTCCTTGTCATATTCCCCAACGAAAGGACCTCAACTAGACCTGGGATAAAAACCTTGAATATCAACATAAGAAATAAGATGTAGCTTACCTTTGTTGGTATTGATACAAAATAAAGCTCTAAGGCAAAATAAAGATATTGAAACAAAGAAAATAATTGATTATGTTTAATGTGTATAGTTATAAATAACCTATATATCAAAAATATAAATTCTCTCACCCTTTATATCTGTCTAGTAACTAGAATCAAGAGGGTTCTGTAGACTCAAGAGCAAGATGGAGAATTGGTCTTAAAAAGATGATGTGAAAAAAGCCATAAGTAGGCGTATATTCTGAAACACTTTCCTTTGCTTGCATCTCATGGTTTGCCTTGTACAGTTAGTCTGTTTGCTGCTGAAAATATTTGAGGGGTTGGAGATACCAAAAACAAGAACAAAAAAAGGAAAACAATACTGAGGCATAAGAAATTAAACTAAAAAATATTATTTAGATTATCACTGTACTATTGCCTCTACTACATATGCCTGGTATGAATTTCTCATATGTTGTTGAAAAAATTATGCACGTGAATTTTTGTTTTAGATAACACAGCTGTAATTTTGACTAATAGAACTGGTTTTAGCCTCCAAGAAGAGCCCGTCTTCCACATGTCCATCCTAATTGCCGACAATGGACTCCCGTCACTTACAAGTACTAACACCCTTACCATCCACGTCTGTGACTGTGGTGACAATGGCAGTACACAGACCTGCAGTGACAGAGACTTCACATTCTCCATGAGGTTCCAGACAGAGATTGTGATTGTAGTTGCTGTTCTGATATGCATTGTGATAATATTTGGTAAGTAGTGTTGAACCAAACATGTCTCCTTTTATTGAGAGTAGTGTGATAATTATGGAAAAATAGATGATTTCATTATGGCAGTACAGTGTGGCTTTGTGTGTGTATTTAAGTCCTCTTCTGAATGTACATTATAATTCTTAAATTAAGTGGAGTGAATTTAACAAATAGTGACTGTGCACAGATCAATGAAAAGTTTTAAAGCTTTTAGAAAAAAATGCCTGTTGTCTATTTTGTAGTCAGTAAATATTAACTTGGAATATAATTCCGCTACAGCATTTCACTCACTGGGGGCTATCGAACTGTTCCATTATGCTAAACTTTTATTAACCTGTATCTTTGATTCTAACTGGACAAGTGCATATGTATTGAAAAATGTTCCCATAGTCTGCTTTGTTCTATTTCCGATATATGAGAAAAAATTAAATGTTAGGTTTTAAATTGATCATCATCAAAAACATCTCATTGTGATTTTATGATATTTTTCTACTCTAAATCACCAACTAGAAAGTTTGTTGTATTTCCTATGTCATTCTGCAAGCCCCTTTTGTAAGCTTTCAACAGAAAATATATTTTAGATTTAAAATAATAAAATCTAAGCTTATGTCGAGCTTATAATAACAGCAAATATTATAAAGTTTATCATAAATCATGTTACGTTGTTTTATGTTCTATTAATTATATTTATTATATTAATATTTTGATATACTGTCTTTGCCAGGGCTTATTCTTTTGATTCTCAGTCTAAAACAACGAAGAAAACAGACTCTATTTCCTGAGAAAGGTGAAGATTTCAGAGAGAATATCTTCAGCTATGATGATGAAGGGGGAGGTGAGGATGATACAGAGGCCTTTGACCTTGGGCAGCTGAAGAGCGGCCCAGTCCTGAGGGAACACAGGACGCGGAAGAGGACAGCTGCCGGGGAGCTCAGCAGCCTGTACAGGCAGTCTCTGCAGGTCGGCCCCGATAACGCCATCATTCGGGAATTCATTCTGGAAAAGCTCAGAGAAGCTAACACTGACCCCTGCGCCCCTCCCTTTGACTCCCTCCAGACCTACGCTTTTGAGGGGACAGGGTCATTAGCCGAATCACTGAGCTCTTTAGGATCAGCAGCCTCTGATCGGGATGACAATTATGATTACCTTCATGAATTGGGACCTCGCTTTAAAAGATTAGCATGCATGTTTGGTTCTACTGTGCAGTCAAATGATTAGGGCTGGGGAGGGGGTGTTGGAAGGCTGGGTGGAAAAGGTGAAGGGATTAGGCAGAAAAAGGAATCAGACACACACAGTGCTATGCTGATTGCCGAAAGGAAAGGGGGAGAGGGAGTGGAAGGAGGCGGGAGAGGACAAAGCGTGAATAGTGACAGGAAGAGACTTTGGGTGGTGAGCACACAGTGCCGTGTGCAGATGATATATTGTAGAGTTGTACACTTGAAACCTGTATAGTTTTATTAATCAATGCCACCCCAATAAATTCCATTAAAATAAAAATGTTAAAACTGCTGATATGTTTTTGGGCAAACTGGTAATCTCTGGATAAAGAGTTGCATGCTCCTGTTCTTTGGGGGAAACCTGATTTATAGTGTTTTATGACTTCCCTGCAGTGAATACCCATGGTTATTTGAAGCCAGTGAGGTGCTGTCGGGGCACCTCTAGCCTACCCACTGCTGACTCGCTCTCCTACCATTGTTTTCAGAGCTACCCAATACAAGTTCTCAACACTTTTGAATGTTTAAGGTGGGAAAGGCATTGAACCTAGGGTACTTTAATAATATTTCATTTTTGCCTTTATTAAATCTTACCAAATGAGAGTAAAGTGAATAGGTGTGTTAAATTCCTGATGCTCTACAGACATAATAAACACCTAGAGAGCCTGGATAATCACATAAAACTTGAAAAAAACATTTTGTTTATATAAATAACAAGTTACTACTGGGAATCTATGATCTATTCTAATTTTACATTTTTAAATCTTTGTCAGGACCACATTTTAAAACTAACTTTAAACTTAGACTGCTAATTAATATGTGTGAATTAGACAAAGATATAGTATAAATTTGTATTATTTTTTATATTATAGCTTAGTATAAAAAAGGAGGGTACAGATGTTTAGGAGTTTTTCACAAATGTGTTCATGTGTAATGAATGCATCTTTATCATGTCATAATACAATGCCAAGATATTTATTCATCATGATGTTAAACATTATGAAAAGGGTGGGAAATGTGAAAAATTTGAACTGGAATTTTATCTACTAGAATGATAGAGGTAAATGAAGGAGAAATGTACTCAAACTTGAATTAATATTCATTCTAAGTATTGTGATCAACTGCACTGAAGCCTACCACACACAGAAAAAAAATGACGAAATTCTCAGCTCTTCCTTTTTTCTTAAGAGCTTAAACAATAACTTATTCTTCACTGTCTTTTTTATTATGGAATAATGGATTAGGTACAGTAGTAACTTTTACTGTAACACAGTGAGGGATTAATATTAAACTGCAGGACATAAAGCTTTATGGTAATATTAGGTAATAAGATAAAACACTTTCATTTTAATCAGCTTTTTAAGAATGGTCCTTATTAGTCTATTCAAATCCAGGTGGAATTTAAAACTCGTAGTTTTATCCAGGAAGAAAGTAGTGAATATAATTGTTAGGTAGCAGCTAGGAAAGAGCGGCCGGAGGGGAAATAAAGCAGGGCCCTCACCCAGTGCAACCTAATGAAGAACTTAACACAGGAGGCTGGAAACAAAAAGGAAACCCTCTCATCTGCTGACTCATCCGTCCTGAGCCCAGCTAAATAAGACTGCCAGGCTTTCTGAACCTTCAGCACGAGGGGAGCCCTTGGACTTCTGTGTGTATCATCTCCACCAGCTGGGAAAGAAAGCCTTGGAGGTTGTGTATTAATCCCAAGATCTGGAGGAGGAAAAGGAAGGGGAACCTAGAAACTGGCCAAGGTATATAAGCCCTGAACCCTGATAGCCAGGCTCAAGTGTATAGAGCAAACTTACTCATGATTTTATTGCTGTATACATGCGGCACTCAGAATAATTGGGTGCCTGCCTACAGTTTTGTGCTCAAGTGTACTTTATAAATAGACTTGTAACTCATTTCCACTGTGTGAGCTGTCCCTCACCTGAATTCTCTTGTGAGCAAGGCAAGACCCAAGGAAGGGAAGCACCCCGACTCCAGCCTCACAAGCAACACAGTGACCTAAAAATTGATTTCACTTTATATAAATAGTATGTGAAACTTGAGCTGCACCAAATTGGGGATGTATGTTTAAATCCAATACTTTTGAATAATTTTGAGCTAAAGATATAGTAATTGAACAGCTACAATATTTTTTCTCTATACTTTGAAATGTCGACATCACACCATGTCATAAAAGTTTTTTCATCAATATCAATCAAGTACCATTATGGTGGGGACGCAGATATCATCACTTCTACAAAAGCCTGAGAAAATTAGACTTGACATACTACAATTTAGGATGACATTAAAAGTAGACAAAAGTAAGTAGATATCATTATGTACTTAGGGAAGATTAAGCATATTTAAAATAATTTTAAAAGAGTGAAACCTTGCCCTGACTGGTGTAGCTCAGTGGATCGAGTACAGGCCTGTGAAGCAAAGAGTCACTGGTTCAATTCCCAGTCAGGGCACATGCCTGGATTGCAGGCCAGTTCCCAGTAGGGGAAACACGAGAGGCAACCACACATTGATATTTCTCTCCTACTTTCTCCTTCCCTTCTGCTCTCTCTAAAAATAAATAAATAAAATATTTTTTAAAAAAGAGTGTAAACTTGCAAATAAAATAGCAATTTTTGTGTTCAGAAGACATTTATATTTCTACTCTATTAACATAAAAATTGAAAGAGTATAGTTAAGAATTTTTAAAATAAATTAGTTCTGGAAGAATTTTCCCCTGTATTTAAAAAATAGTGCAATATAATTATGATTGAAAAGCTGGAAAGTATGATAAACAACAGATAAAGCAATCTATGGAGAAATAGATTAGAAATAAAGAAGAAGGATTTCTGGGGATTCAGAAGGTTCTGTCACAGATGAAAGTCCTTATAAACCACTTTTCAATTTGGATGAACACCTTCTAAAAAGGCACACTGATCTAATGTGTGTGTCAGCTGGGTTTTATGTTTGTGTGCATTGGCCTGAAGTGGATGTGTTAAATTCTGGTTTAGTTAATGATAGGTTAGTCATAGGATACATAGAAGAGCACACCTGGTTGCATAACTATTTTCTAGTCTAAAAAGTGTTTTCTTGAGTTGCATCAGAAATGCTATCTGAGTCTATTAAAGAAGCCGCTGAATCCTATAAATGATACTTAGCAGTATTTGAATACCTCTTTTAACCTTTTCCTGGTCATGGTCGTTGCGAGAAGACAGTTAGCTGTGTCCTAAGCTAAAGACATAGCATTACTGCTGTGGCTGGAGTGGCTCAGGGGATTGAGTGCCAGTCTGCAAACAAAAGGGTTGCAGGTTTGATTCCTGGTCAGGGCACATGCCTTTTCACTCCATCTCTTTCTCCCTCCCTTCCCCTTTCTCTAAAAATAAAAATACATTAAAATCTTTTTTTAAAGACATGGCATTAGGATCTCATTCTTTTCCATTTTAATAGAGGTTTCATCAGTGTAGATATTTATGAAAATAGCACAGTTTCAGATTAATGCCTGAAGGGCTTCAATACTTGCCTTCATTAACTCACAGCATTACACATAAATCTTAAATCACTAATGGTTGAAATGGGAAAACATTCAGTCCTTTATAAGAATCAAAAAGTTCGCAATAGTAGATGTTCATTCAGTGCACGAGCTTGATCCTCACAGAGCGCATTTGAATTAGCCCCCTTTCATCTGAATAACCGACCGCACTTCGTGAAACTGCCTAACCTTTCAGGGTCAGGGTCTGTAATCCGTGAAATGAGGCTTGCGCAATGAAGACGTCCCCCTTACACGTGAGTGTTGTGAAGAGTCGGTCAAAGGGCATGACGAGCGTGCTGGGCTGCGCACACACCGGCCTCCTGGCCACGCTGAAGCTGTTTTGTCTGAGCCCAAACATCCTGTCTCCCTACCCACTCATTGATCCCAGTGGCTTCCCAGCATGAGTAAAATACAGATCAGCATCCGGACCCGACACGTGCGGTCGGTCCTGCAGTATCCTGTCTCGGCTTACATCCACCGTCTCTTAACTCTTCCACTCTGGTCTCTGAGGCCTGGAACGTCCTCCTGCAAACACTCCTCTTTTCCATCCCTCGTTTCATTCAGATGGGTGATGTCTGTCCCCCGGGCCCTTGCTCTGCCTCACTTTCTTTCCAAGCACTCAGCTACCTGGTATTATTACACTGTAAATATTTCATTTTTTATTGTCTTTATCCATATTACAATGCAAACCTAAAGTAGGCAAGGGATTGTCCGACTTGTGTATTTGTTTTTGTCTTAAATGGTTTCTAGCACTTAGTGAGTAAATGCATTAATGAATCCCAGGTAACAGTTATATACTGACTTTTGTTGAATATTCATGTGAAATTAATGCATTTAAAAAAATGTGTTAGCATTGGGTAGTGCTTGGATAAAATTTTTAAAAAAATCTTTCTGGAAATTATATGAGTTTGTTTGGAGTTTTTTATATTAATTATAACTGACATTTTAAGAGGCGATCATGTTACACTGTTCAGCCAGACAGGTCCTTTGATGATCTCACAAGAGCAAGTCCCCAGGCAGAGCGACGCGCAGGGAAATGAGCGCGACAGTCTGCTTCTCATTTCCGAGTGCCACTTGGTAACAAATGCACTGGTGAGCTAACCAGGTCGCACAAAACCTACTCGCGAAGCTTCATATTCTTCTAGGTGACATAAAAAGGGCATTGAATATCAAATATGCTAAAGGCAGGGAGATGAATTTGAGAGATGAATGGGGGAAAGGAATATGCGCCATTTTACTGTTCCACTTAAGTCCGTCCACCTGTCATTACATACCCATCCATCCATCCATCCCTTTATCATTTATCTATTGTGAGAAGTTGTGAGAGATTTGCGGGAAGAGGGAAGGCTAGCATCTCAACCACAAAGATTTCAGGACCTGTTAGGATTTGTTGCTTCCTCCTGTTCTTAGATCTCTGCGGATGGCAGGTTGACGGATGGGTCTGCGCTGTCGGGAGGAGAGAAAGGGCTGCGGACGGGCGGTGTGTGATTCCTTAGCCTCTGACAGGCAAAGCTGCATGAGTGTCTCGTAGGTTAAGTGATTGGCCACTGTAGAAATTTTGCACAGAAGGTAGGAGCTGAGAGGGGGCTTAAATAAATCATCTAAAGAAGTTGTCACACAGGCTGAGAGACAATAGGGACCTCAAAGGCTTAAACTGTCTCCCAATATCCCATGCGAGTGCACTGGGATAAAGTGCCCGCAGGTGGATAGTGGGATGCTCAGCCTCCCACAGGA